CTGGCTTTGTTGATTTACGTCTGAGCATTGATCACCATCCAGTCTCGATCTGCTTTGATATGGAGGGCTGGTGGACTTAAGCTGCCAGGCGATATGTTTGGTGTGACGTATCTTGCAGCTCAAATGGGCCAGCCTCCATCCGTGGCGGGCACGATATGTAAACAAGTTTTATGCTGTGTATAGGGTATACAGGAGTGCGGCCCAGAAGGGGACTCCAAAACGTGCTGCTGCATAAGTTGGCAAACAAAGAATTTACTGGCGGTAAGTATTCGTCTTGCGAAGGAGACCTAAGCGTAACCGGTTTCACAAGCTGAATGACAAATCCATTTCTGACTGAGCGGCCTGTGTTAAAAAGCAAGCAACAGAAATACATTGAGGATACAAGCCTCAACTCTAGCACACAGTTCATTCACAGAGCTGCTTCTTTTTGAGTTTTAGGGCGATCAAACTGACCCAAAAGCTCATCGTTTGGATCCTCCTTCCAGTCATCAAAAGTGCGATAATTGTTTGTCGCGAAACGTAGACGCATAATTTCGCGCTGATTCATTGGTTTTAATTCTCTGAATTCTCGTGCATCACAGTCCAAGTAGCAAGCGTATTTTCCCTCTTCCTTGGCTCGATGGTATTCGTCTGGGTCACGGTAGACATAATGCTCCAACAGATAGCGAGGATGTTGTGCATTCAGGTTGTCCAAGGCATTAAAGTGTTGGGTCAATGGACTAGGATCAACTAAGCAAACAGGAAGGTAGTCGAACTGTAAAGTAAGATAACTTGGGTTTCAATAACTTACGTTGCCCAACTTTGGCGGCAGGCAGTCTACATCTGAGGCTTCCCAGTCTAAGAGTCGTAATCCGCTGCGGTCGTTTGCCCACGGTCGATATCTGTCCAGTGGATGTTTGACTCTGTTTAAGTTTTGATTCCATCGAAGGCGTTCATCTGGCTTTCCCATGGCATCAGCTTGAGGTACCTTTAATACCAGGAAAATAATTGGCTGAAATAACGTCATACGCTAAGTCCACATTTGAAAAATTCCGATGGATGATAGCCAGGAGGGCTTAGCCTAAATGCCAGCAGCGTTCGCTTTCAAAGATTTTTAAATATACAAACCATTTTGCTCGTGTGTCTCCCACGCATTCTTCTGGTAGAACCTGACAATACTTTGTGGTCTGGATACCCTCTTCTTCGGTCATCATAAATAAGACTAGCTAAATGACATCAATATGGATCAATAACTCGAAAATGTCAGCTGACATTGTCGCTTTCCTTGTGAGCTAACTGACCTAGATGGCTGCCAAATTGTCGTATAGGGAAAGCCTGTCTCACACAACACGCACCATATTACAGGCTTAAACATAATGAACCGGACTCAGTCCTACATAAGGTCGACCCAATGAACCGAGTGCCCATCTTAATTCATTTTTGAACTATTACGTTTTCTCCAAGTTATCCTCGGTCTTTCGTTGAAAAAACGGTATTTCTTCCCCTCAGTGTCCATAGGAATCCGTAGACTCTTGCAGTGGAGCTTCAGCCTAACCGTACGAAACCGATCTCGACTATGTTGGGATGTCCAAACGTGAGAGTGTGATAGAGTGTGATGCAGAAATATGTTGCATAATATCTGTTCCTACTCAAGGACAAACAACGGTGATTCAGAATGCCAGAATGTCCATAGAATCGGTTGATAGGGTCTTCAAAGCAATGAAAGCTTCCAAAGGAGAGATATACACATCCTAGGTTTCAGAAAGGCACATCGTTAATATCGGCACTTCTTAGGTCTCTTTATAATAGCATTGACTGGGGAATCGTACAGCGTTTTCGGATCCACTCCACTATTGATAGCCCTCTAGATAAACGTGTCTTATTCGGGAGACGTAGCCCTTCTCGCGGATGATTTGAGTGCATGCAGATGTCTACGTGATGATAGGGACAGGTGTTTTAAACTATGTCTTTAACAGACACAGGATTTTTCGCTGACACGGTAGAGCCGCTCTGTCTTACAGCAACTACCTCAGCTACTACAATAACCTGATGTTGGCCTCTGTTTTGGAGCACTCGGTTGGCTGATTTACTGGAGCAGAACCTACACACCAATTAAAGCAGAAGGTTAACTTTGGGCACACGAATTTCTACGTTTTCAAGATGAGACTTCGTTTACCCCAACAATATGTCGTTGAGAATGCAAGACCAAATGAATTTGCCTCACTTGCCAGAGTTCCCCGTGAAAACTCACCTTATATACGAATGAGCGCGTTCGTCGAAGTCTGTTCAATTTGGGTTCAGGTAGAACGTACGGTTGATGGAAATCCGGGGACTGCGTCTACTTGAGGAGCCATTAGTAGGGCGAAACCAGACGCGGGGCGTCGAAGAGTGTTCAGCAAACTTGTGATTAGTTTCCCTCATGGAAATGACCAATTTCCTTTTATTTCGGCTTTTTATAATCACAGCTATCAATTTCGCCTCGCATGAAAATTTAAACACTGAACGCTGTTTCGGTGGCCTGTGCTTGTTTAACGTGCTAGGGATCACACGCTTTCGGTACCAGTCAGATCGGTTTATTGATCAGGCCTTGACGCCGACTTCAACCGGTCATTTTTTGATCTGCCGCTACATGGGGAATATGGCCATGCCATACGTAGATACAAACACATCTTCCCAGAACTGTAAGTGCATAGCTAAACTTCCAGCAGTCACACTGAACCTGGCTGTTCAGTGCACTAGGTGAAGGGTGAACAGAAGTGAAACGAAACAGGCCCCATTTTACGGATTAGTTTTGACACGCCAGGCTCTAACACTCTGAGGTGCCAATGCACGCACTTGTTGGTAGACATACACGGGACTGGTCAGTGGCAATTGTTTGTGTACTCTGCAGTGAGTGGTTTGACAACGGGCTATTGGGATGACATCATTCACTTCTGCTACGATGCTTTTGATGTTCATTTCACACGGCTCTGTTTGAAGCTATTCGTGTTCGCGTAGGGATGTGCTTTCATTGGTCACCGTGGTAACAACAACAGATGCTTGCTTATCTTCTTTTCTCAGGATAAAGTCTGCTTACGGACGCAGTAAAACGGAACACAACTAGCATTCAGCGTTCATCCATATGCCGACTACCATGACAGGTCCATATGTTAGGGGCCATTATCTAGCTTTTACATGTTTCTAAATTCACTTTCTTCATGAGAAACCTCTTGACGGTGCAGCTGTCACGCTTTTGGTTGGTGGAATGGCTATAACCACCAAGTTTAGTTTAATCACCGTGGCAACTTCAGTCGACCAGTACAAATTAGATAATGGTACTGAGACCACGTCTTTTGTATGCACCATTTCATGACCACTTATGGTTTCCACGAGAAAATATGTTACCCTTACTTTACTGTCCTATTTTGGAGTGGTGTGCTGTGTGAGCTTTACAACGAAGAGTACATTGTACTTCCAGCCATTTCAAAATCTGGAAATCGGTACGTCAGGCTTAATTTTTGCATGCTTACTTGACAACTAACTGAAGCCTTGCATATTTACGGCAACTTTGTTTTCATTAGGGTGAATAGCAGTGTAAAAATGGGGCATGGTTCCATAGACAGTTGCCCGCACGGTCACAGTGTGTTCTCTAAAGTCCAAATCAGAAGAATTCTACCTTGAAATCTATCAAAACCGGTTTTCTTATGGTGTCAGGAGGCTGGTCAATTGCAACATTTTATCTATTTAAGCTTCTCTGACCAGCCATAGCGCATGAGTGTTGTCCACGACAGAAGCAGCTGCTCACTTTCTGTTGTTATTTGCTGGCTACCATGTTTTTTCGGCCCTGCAGTTCATGAGCAGCATGTTTTTGGAAAGTTTTTGAACACCAAATTAAGTCTCAAATGACCTTCGTTAGGCTAACAGTTCCCGGCTAGCTCGTTTGATGTCATTCATTCATCGCAGCTATTGGTTACGTAGATCACTTTTTGTTTTGATGGCGGCCATGAAATAGCAACAAAAGGTTGGTTCTTTGCCCGCTTTCTCATATTCAACAGGCTTCAACACCATTGTTCTTGCACTACCATCAACCATACATGCGGAGTCATCATCTACAAAATTGTCTGTCATACAAACTCAATTTCAGTTGACACCCAGTCCTGTGGCACATTGAATTAACATGATGAAGTTTATACGGACGCACACACGCATGACAAAGGTTCAATTACAACATTCGGTTGAATTTTGATGATGATCCATTGAAAAGATTCTTTGATATCATGAAACTCGGGCATTGAATTACATGATGAAGTTTATACGGACGCACACACGCATGACAAAGGTTCAATTACAACATTCGGTTGAATTTTGATGATGATCCATTGAAAAGATTCTTTGATATCATGAAACTCGGGTAGAAGGACGAAGTGAAATTCGCTACTAGCGAGCGACAGCCAAAGTCAATGGGAGAAAAACGGTTTCAATGTATATAATATTTTGAAAGTAATGAGTCCAATACCGCGGATGTAACCCAACTAATCATGACATCAGTGAAACATTCACAAGCGAAACCAAGTTCACTGAGGGCAAAATGTTTATACATTGACCTCTACATTTATTTGGGTCCACAAGAAGAAAGATGCTCCACAAGTGGCTGATAGTACAGATTATTTCACTTACAGGATGAAATTTCAATTGAGGATTCCCGAATCTCCTCACAGACCCATCAGTCTATAAGTAGCTCAGAAGAGGAATACTTTCACAAGGTGATTGGGAGCTCCAGATGGGAAGTCATCGCTTGAAGAGCCATTCAGTAAATGATACAGTGATGTGGCATCCGTAATTGAAGGATGGGTGGTACTATATTCCGTCTAAATGCGACTTAGTTACTGCTGATCAGCTACCCTTTGCCGAACGGTACGGTATGCGAAATACTAGACGGGAGGTCACGGGTTCGAAAACGCACGAATTTTCGTGAGAATTTAACTTCTGATGATTCACATTAAAGATGAAACAGTTGCACGGTGCTTTCAGATTAACTTACAGGGCAAAATCTCAGTAGAAGATTCCAAGGTCCCCTTACATTACTATCAAATTAGACTGTTACAACATCCATTGCGTCTGAGAGGTGTGGTGTTTTCATACCGTTCGACCGCAGCGAGCTTGAAAACATCGATTTCTAGAGAAAGGACGAACACTGGAACTAAATAGTACCAAACGAAAGCCAACTTTTCAACAAAATATTAACACTAAAATAAAAATCAAGAATCAGAAAAAACACCTTTTCGTCATGCTCCCATGGAGTAAGAAGAAGCCTGGGAGTGAAAGGTGTTCCAATTATCTGCGTTATTCAACCGATTGCGAGTGAACGTGAGGTCGGTGCTGATGCTGTCAGAGCAATTATTTACGCAACAATTAAATTACTCTCCACTCGTCAAACACAACTATAAATAGCTGCCACAGAATCACCCCAAACTGTGGTTTTTGTGTTCTACCAAACATGATTCTGATTTTGTTTCAAACTCTAGTCATACTGGTTCACTCTTTTAACTGTGCACCTTTAAAGCGAAGGAGTCCAGTGTTTGATGGTATTCTCCACCTAGGTGACTGTAACCGCAAGCCGGTGGAGTACTGCAATTCCTTGGTGGAGAACAGTATGTGCAACCCACAAAAGAACGAGTGTTTTTGCAAACATGGCTTTGTTGCCATCCAGGAGGAGGAGAAAGTTGTCTGCCGCACACGTAAGTGCTAATGAACTGTAGACGTCTCTTATGTAGGCCACCGCATTTTTCAATTAATGGATTAGTTGGAGCGTAAAGCCATTCTAATACAGTTTTGAAAACGTTGGGCCATCAACCTATAATTAGGTCCATGGGTAACAAGAAATTAAAGGATACTCTCTGATTTTGGAGACCGAAAGTTAAGAAGATACGAAGTTCGGCTCAGCCCCTCCATAACAATAGATTATTGTAGATGTGGTCTTCTGTGACCACCCTCCCAGAATAAAGAACGTGCGTTTTTGAGAAACTAAAAAAGGTATCAGCCTAGTTGGTGTAAAACTGCCGAGCGAACAAAATAATTGAGAAAAATCGAGAGCATTACAAACTGCTGTCTTACTGAATGAGAGTTTGGAAGAAACGTTCATATTCCAGTGTAGCTGAGTTAAATTCGGTGCATTATAATTGCTTTCAAAATGATGTGTACATGACGTGGCTGGGTGCCAAAACTTCACCTGGCTTGGAGAAGTAATAGGACAGTTGATTTCTCTCAAGTGACACCAAATGCTTCACAGAAAGTGTTTTCGAACTTAAGAAATATTAAACTGCTATGCATGTTTATTTTCAGTCAGGTTTACTCACAGATAAACTTGGTTTAAACATAGATGTATCCTTTTTAGGCAAAGTAAACAAAAGCTATTTGCAATCCATCTGACACGAGATATCTACATTGTCATCCTAGTTTTGTAGCAAACATACTCGTTGTATTTATCCACCAGCTGAGCTGATCGATAAAGATGGCATTGAGCCAATTCAATAGTACAGTGGACATCCTATAGGGAGAGACTGGAAAACACTGGAATTTACCCGGAATCTTGGCAAAGAAACTCCTGGGGCAGATCTTAACTAATTTGTAGTGGATTCATCATGGTTGCCTGGTCTTGGTATGCAGTACACAGCCACTCTAGCATATTGCTTTATAGTTTTACAAATAGCAACGACTGAGCCTACTTAGAAGCTTGTCTCTTACCCTTAGCTATTCGGAGGAAACCAAACCTCAGCCTTTTCTCCAAGGTCTCTACAAGGAGTATAGAAATAGGATGACTATTTAGGTTTCCGTCTTACTATTGGTAAATAGTTACGGAAGCAGATATTTATTCACGTCAACGGAGCATTTGCTAGTGCACTGGCCTTTCGTCACAGTCGGGTTAACCATTTGTTCGACTCCTCTAATATGCTCTCCACTGTCCTATTTCTTGTCCCCTCAGTGCTGACAGAATTGTATTGTCGAGTGGATTCGGACTGTGTGCATGTGGATGGTAGTGTGTGCCATCCCGGAGCAGGCAAATGCGTCTGCCCAAGTGGAAAGATTTATGTGCCTCAACTACACGGCTGCCGTAAGTTTTTGGGCGCATAAGCGTGGGTAATTTTGCTTCTGACGAAAGTCCAAACCAAAACTGCTTGCCAGTGTAGATGTGTCAAGTATGTACTGTCGGGCCACACGTTTTACATGCTATAGATATTGTAAATTTTCAACACAAGACACTGATTGTATTATATGACTGTGCATGTACTTAAAGCAAACTCAAATATTTCGGACTGACGTCTGTACCGGAATTCACTCATAAAAGGTTTCTGCGTAAGTACTACAGTTGTTTTACAACCTCTCTCTGATATTTTGGTTCATTCGATTTTTCGAGTTCCATTATTTGACATCGAGATTTTTATCCTGTTTGATGTAAACCTATGTACTTGCATAACGAGTATGTTACGCTCACAGTTAGGCTGTACGACACCATTCCTAGCTCTCCATCAGAATTAGCGTGTAATTTACGATAAGCTGATTTGTTTCAAAGTCCCTGAGTTTAGTATGAAAAGTTCGTTCATCTAGTGATAAGCGGTGGCTTCAACAAGAAATCTGGTAAGCAACAAGCAGAGGAATATATGAAATGGTTTTTTTTCACAAATTCTATCAACTATTGGGAGCCTTAGCTTGCCGAATGCCTAACAAAGAGATCAAAGTTACAAATGCCTACAGCTTTCTAGAAGTACGCTCTTTCAAGCTGAGGAGAATAGTCGCGGATTTGAGACAGTTTTGACAATTTTGTTGACTAAAAATTGCGTTTGTTTGATGAAGAAGGATGTTTTGGGATAACCACATTTTGAAAGACAGAAATGATTCAATAGGGCCACTGGTTTCGTTTAAGGTTCACATGCGTCGTGGTTATCAACGTCGGTTAACCTTACCCTGATGCCTCCATCCAAGAAAACGTCAGCTGACAACTCTAGTGGGTTGAATGACCGTGGACTCCATAATTTGGCGCACAGTTGATTCATTCGCCGTCTTCCATATATTTGTGAAAAACAAACCTATTAAACGTCGCTTCAGGAACCACGGCAGGCCAGTATCCTAGTTTTCCGTCGATAATTGTCTGTTAATGTTTAGAGGTAATCGGCTCAAAAGCGATAAGTTCAACGCATACCTTGAATATGTATTTCATTCTTCTAGGTCAGCGCTTTGAAACGAAGATGGACCAAAGCTGTGAAAAATGCCTTTTGAAACAAGGGACCTGCTTCCTATATGACTTGAAAGACCAACCAGTGAATAGTAAGCATACTTCCAATGTGGACCAGTAAGTCACTATATTTGGTTTTGAAAGAGGTTATCTCCCAACCTGGGAACCCCATAAATTCGACTCGATAATTGTTGTGGATCACAGTGTCCTTAATTCCTTCTTATTACCGTCAACGCGGGACTGGATAGCCGCCTGATCGCCTAGTGCGCTTGGCCAAACCAGAAAAAGTCAATGAACGTGCGAACCGGCTGATCTATTGATCCCTGTCGCATACAGTCAGTCCAAAAAGTGATACTAAGAATACAGCTCATCTGTCGACGGCGAGTGAAGAGCAACCAATGAAATCTGCCTCAACGAGAACAGTTAATCCACTGGCTGTTATGTAGTCCCGTTACGTTCGGATCTGGTTCTCCTAATAATGATCTGTTTTTCTTTTCGAAAAAAATAAGCAGCATATTTTCAACAGGGTGGTTAACTCGATCCTGATTAAGTCACACGCTTTTGAATCTTAACTTCCCTAAACAGGGGATTACTTCCCACAAGAAAGGCACCTGTGAGCAGAGTTTTCGATCATTCGATTCGTTCATCATCTGGAACTCAGGTGTCCTCGTAACCCAACGAATTATGTGCTACTCACCGTAGAAATGGTCAGTTTCATGCAAAATCCATCAGGCTTTAGATACCAGACCTCAGAATCCACTCTTCTCAGAGCGCTGACGTTGTTGCTGATTTCATGACTCAACGTGTCCAGACTGAACACGTGTCGGAACAAAATGTGCACAACCCAATAAATGCAAACTATGCACTCCTGATTGCCTATGTGTCCAGTGTGGTTGTTTCATCAGCTAAATTGCGGAGAGCAATCACATACAGCTGATTGGGTATCTCTTTGTTACCCAAGGCTCATCCTATGGCTTCCAATTTCTACAAAGAGGCATCTCAACGTTGGGTCGACTACAAGATAGTGTATATTCAGTGGCCTCAATATGTAACCTTCACGATGGATGATTCCCGAAACTGAGAACTCTAACGAAGACTGAGAATTATTAGCCTTGTAAGAAAGCTAGTGAACAGCTTAACGCCGAATATCAAGTGTTTACAGGGATCAGAGTTCTCTTCCATCAAGGGCAAAAGCTCTACCCTCATTTACTTGCTTCAGTCTATTTCTGGTGTTGATGAGTATTTCAGTACTTCGGTCGATGAAGTAATAACGGGTTTGTAACCCGAACATTTGACTAAATTCTTCTTATATTTACCAATGTCATCAACCAGAGCGTTGATATATGGGCTTTCCTTGTAGAGATCGAATCTAACGAGAGGCTATGACGATTTGTTTGCAAACGTTTTTAAAGCCAGATCAAAAGACATTAAAGTCGTGCTTTTTATTCAGATCGCTTGCTGTCGGCTGTGTGTGTCCACAATCAGTGATCAAGCATGGTTCAGAGAACCTCACGCTTCTGGTCCCCACAGATGGAGGACTATGCGGAAGTCAACTAGGTAAGCCTTCAATAGATAACCTCATTTCCTGTTCTACGAGGAATTTACGAATATCACACTCCGTTTAGCAACTAGTTTCGTAATTATTTTCAGTATCCACAACTGTTACCGGTTAACCAATCGAAGGGAACTTGGGTGATTTTACCTAACTCTTTTTTAATATTCGGTCGTTTTAAACGATATATATATATATACATATATATATATATATATATACATATATATATATATATAGAAATAGAGGTGAAGACTGAAACCGGCAACATTTTGGGATCCAGCTGGGCTGCGTGTTAATTCTTTAGGAGCTAGCGTTACGTGGCTCCAATGGTCAACGCATAATGAAAATTTGTTAACGTTAACTTTTCACCTTTGCACCTTGTACAATGACCAGCTATATGGGTGCTTTTAGGTACTGCCCACTTTGTTGTCACATCATGGACAGGACTATGTATATCCTAGACATACGTTTATATATGTAGTTCAGTGGACAGATGAAGTCCGGGCCCAAAACTGGCCGGTAATCGCAACAACTGTAAACATGATTCTCTTTCAGTTCACTGCGCGACTGGGTAATACGGCTATCAAATCACAGAGCCCAGTTATCCATCTACTTGGCAGCTCACTGAAACAGTATGTTGTCAAAACAACCAAACGCAAGGTACCACACCATTCTCCACCATCAGTTCTCCACGATCCTGCCGATTCACGACCTGGTCCGCGACTAATTTCAAACCACTGAACACCGTGTTTTGATCAGGACTTTAGGGCACACTTTAAGTTTTTTGAATGTACCGTGGTTGTTAGGTTGGTAGTTGGCTGCGAGGATATATCAAATTTATAGCGGTTTGGGTTTGTACGTAGCGATCTGAGATCACAAGATCCTAACACTAAAAGCTGGTCGTGGGTACCGAGATTAATTTCTCTTGCGATGAAAACTCTCTCCCCTCACAAATGCCTGCCTATGGCTGGACTTCTGAAGCTCGGTTCCAGCATTGCGTTATCCCCAGGACAGATAACTTTTCAGTTGAGCCCACTCTAAATATGTGCTTTAAAACCGTCTCCAAGCGCACGATAAGTGAGCGATTACTTTACTGAAGCCATTGTTTATGCCAGCCAATTTCGTCTGCAATACTGTGTAAATTGTGAATACGCTTCTTATTTTGCGTTTTTTAGAACACTTTTACCCTTTCAAAAAAGAGGATCGAAGAAAATTTCATCAAGTATAACTCAACTCTGATGCAAACGAGACGGCAGTAACCCGTGTAGACCTAATGCGACAAGATCATAAAACGGTGGTCAAGTTTTTCAGTTTTCAGCCACAGCGGAAAGGCATAGACTTCGCACAAAAAATGGACAGATATTGCTGATCATTTTGGGCAAACCACTTTATCCGAAGGTGAAAGAGTTGAAGCGATAAAAAGGCCACGCTAATAGCTTGTTTCAACCATCTCACCAAGCGAAGGTAAATTCTTCCAGAGATGACGGCACTAGTCTCAAGTGCAGATTTTGGGGGCCAATTTCGATGGACCATTGATGTCCGCAGTGGATCCACACTTAGGATAATGCACATCGGTGATGATGGCATAAAGAATCTTTCGCAAAAACTGAAAACAACATACACCAAATCGTTAACTTTATCCAAAGGCTGAATAAATTTTGCGAGATCTTAAGGAGCTAACCAGATTTTGATTTGGTTCTAACCATATGACGGAGAAACTGAGGAAATTTTTCCAGTTGGTTATGCAGAAAATGTGACGCAAATTCGGAAAGGCATGCTGAAGCTGCGACACACAACAAGGTCCCCTGATCAACAGATAAAAATCCATTTTTACTGAAAAAGTGTGCCTATATTCCATATTAATAGGAACAGTATGTTCTACCAGTTAGCGAGTGTGCGAAATATTTAACTTTCAGCCTGATTAACGAGCCACGTGAAGTGTGATGGACAGTGAAATAGGATTGAACTACAACGTTGTGTAACATTTCACACAACAGACACAGCGGAAATTTTATTTTGAATATTTTTGTCCACACAGACTTTTGATTGTAGTCCCATTACACAAGTACAACTCGTGTACACGATTATTCTTGTTCTCAGCGGACTCCTCTCGCAGTATCTTATCCCTTTCATAATCGATGTGGATAGTCAGGCTTTCATTTTTCGTTTGTTGCAAGCAAAGTTAGTTTGCATCCCGAAGGAAGGAAACATCCCTCAGTGGACGATTTTTCTCGATCCAGATAGCTCCAGTTTACAACAGGAATCGTTGTTATCCTACTTGATACCTGTAACAAACAAGTTTATAAAAAAACATGTAGACGATAGAAAGCAATGGGGTTGATCATTAGAGTCATTAAACTGGAATTTCACTTCATGTATCTAGGATGTGATCAAAACATGTTTCAACACCTACTTTGTCTACTTATTTTATGGTGACCACTTCAGAATCATGAATGAGCCAGCTTTGCTACTGTTTCTGCTAGCCTCCAGTCAACCAAGGTGTTCCGACTCGTGACTATGCAGGTGTGGTGAAGACTCACCTTATTCACACATTTCGATTTGTTAACTGAAGCCAAGCCAGTTATGAGGCTCCGAGGTCATCTGCTGTGACAGTTTGTGGAATACCTTCGGAGGACGTGCCAAGCTACTCCAAGGCAGCTGTGTTCTGGTTAAATGGACAAGAAACTGCACCTGGAAACCGTCTGTATCGTCCTCGGGCACAAGTGATAGAAATTTTTAATCTGCGACAGTCTTCTACATCAACCTTGCTAAGAACGCCAAAAACAGACGCTTCGGCTGAAGATGTTCTGTTTTAAGAAGATATTTTCCGACGCACTTCTATCCACCTGGAACCCTCATCTGGTCGTTCGCTTTCAACAAAATTGTGGTTTTAGACAAAGAATGATTTTTTATGAAACCAATATAATAATTTTGCACTATTCTTGAATAATTTGTTCACATTTCCAATCCTTTTAGTCGATATTGGCGAAGAATGTGATGCGGTTAACCATACGTGTAAAGCACAGATGGCTATGTGCCTTCCCGCTCGTCGGGACCGTAGATTGGCTAATTTTTCTGGTCGATGCTCTTGCCCAGAAATTACGGTCGCAGTGTACCAACCAAATCTGGGTTACCACGAGTGTTGTAAGTTGAAATTAATCAAATCGGGATTAGGTTTTCTCCATCTACTATTAATTTCTGCCAGTGTGACACTGCGGCACCTCAAAATGAAATCTGTGACATTTACGTGACAGCCAATAGTGTTACAAAATGTTAGAAAGCAGTTATCTCACGAACGGAAACTATTTTTTCATCTGATAAACTCATGTTGCAAACCTCGTGGAATTCTTTGGAGATGTCTACAGAAAAGTAAGGAAGTAGCTCCGATGACTGGTTTAGCAAGGTCCCTTTACCATTTCCTCGGTTAGTCCGTAAGCGAATCATCGTCAAATTGGGGGACTGCTGCAGATGGATTGGCTGATTGTTAGCTAGTCAAGACGGAACTCATTTCGATTCGCTAAGGTCATACTATACTCTTCGCTTTCATCATGCTTGTGTGAATAATCATTATTTATTTACTTATTTGTTTATTAATTAATTAAGGGACGCACAAAATTAGGAGTATATATTCAATGATAGTCGGAGTCCATGAACCGTACTCCGTTTGCTTCACTGTGTTCAGCCAAATGGTTTCTAGATGTTGTCCGAGTGCCACGAGTTGCATGGATGTTGAAGCGAATGTGGGTTATATTGAGACCTAACTGAGAGTGAGAAAAGGTCATCCTCCAGCTCATGCGTACCAAAGATGGAAATAAAACCAACTACTCACCGGTTGGAATAAGTAGTTTGGCAGCACACTAGAAGCTCACTCGCACGCCTTTCGACGAATCCATTCCCGTCCGGTAACCAAAACAGCACAGAACAGCTTTTATCTCGGCTCGGTAAGCGTGGAGATAGGTGAGTTTTTAGAGTGCATTCAAGACTTATGAACCCCCCAGGATAAGTTTTGCGGTGTCTGATCTTTTGCTTTGCTCCAATTTTGTTTTCCACGGTTCGTAAAGTCCATCTTATCATTTCTCCTACAGAGTGATTAAATCTGTGATGTTTTTGTAGATGTTTTACCGTAATTTAATGTGAGCTGATATGTCAGACTGATTAAGCAACAATGCCATTGATGCGTCTAAGCCCGGTATTCCAAACGTGTTAGCGCAACAGGAACGTCACATGTGGGATTTTTCTGCCTGCACGGCACAGGAGTTGCTGCTGGCCGTCTGTCATTAAACGCTACGAACTAGTGTCACAGCCAGCCGCATTTTTTGTCTGATTCGAAAAACGCATAATTGCATGCTCAACCGAGCTGGGTTAGGTTCCACTGAGGCACCTTTATGTGAACCTCGATTTTATTGTGTACGATGATGTGCACCTAAAGAGAACGGTCATTGGGAATTTTAGCTGCCCACCACAAATTAATAACAGTTTGACCAGAATGCCACTGCCGACTTCGTGATTGACAGCGAATCAGACCGCACCATGTCACATGGTTAACTTGAACGATCGTTTTCCTGTCGAGGACAAATATGTTTCAAACCAGCCCACAAGGAGTATAAGCGATGTATAGTGGTATATTTTGTAATTAGCTGCAGCAAGCTTCTGAGAACCTACGAAAATTTGACCGTGTATAACTCACGAAAATCTTGAGCGTTTCGTCTGTTTCCAGATTACCACCGGAGTCTAGCCCTACTGATTGTAAATCAGAACAAAAGTTGCATTTGGATGCTCATTCAGGACCAAACAGCGATACTTTATAACTATAGTATTTTCTTAAATGAAATTCAAATTCGTTTTTTCAGGGGCGTAGATGGATTATGTGGGGCAGACAACACATGGATATCTAGGAAATTCTCCGAAAAATTTAGAAGCACCATGAAAAAAACAGTTTTAGCCTATCTGTATCGTAATTTTCTACGCATGGTTCAGCACATATCTTGTAATGTTTCGGAAATGGAGTAATATAGCCACTGAATGACTTCAGGTGATTAGCAACCTCTCTCACTAAACAACAGTACAACATGCAAGTGCTCATAATGTTTCATAATTGTGGTTATCATTTTTTAATCAATCTCAAATCGATAACTTTTTCTGAGTTACTGTCTGAAGGTGTAGGAACGAACACTGACGTTTTCCTGTTGATGAAAATGTTGGTGCTATTGTTGTTATTGATGACGATGATAATGAATATTATTATTCTTATTTTTTATTATTTTATTCATTTTCAGTTACAAAAATACCTAAACCACAGCTGAGCGCCGGGCATAACCAGGACATAGTAAATCCAGAGTGCGCTGGATGTCATGCTGTCGAAGGAGTATGCTACGATATGAATGATGATGGCATTGGAGATGGATGTCGTTGTCCGGTGGATCGGACACATTCATCAACTGTGGATTCAGACAGCCAACCATACGAGAGCCCCACAAAACACCATCAGCAATCAAGTTTGAGTTCGCCGTGTACGAGGAAACAAGGTAATCCTGAAGGTATTTATTGCCACTGTGATTCTCCACTCAGTAGAACTACTTCAGAATGACTGACAGTTCAGTATCGATCCGAGGTGCAGTCACTCAAAACCTGTGATAAAACAGTTCCAAATGTTGTGGGAGTTACGAAACTGACCAGTCTTTGAAGAAGCGGGTTGTGATTGTTATTAACTCTGAATTCTGATACCCTGTGTTTATATTTGCACTTGCGCGTAGCGGCATAACAGCTGAACTAATATCAAGGCTACACACTCCTTTTCATAAAGGAAACCAATCACAAGGTTGCCGAAAACTCCTTGATAGCCTACGAAAGGTTTCGCTCTTCTTGGGGCTCATCAGGTAGACGCAGTCCTTGAGTTCCCGTCAACCCTATGTTCTACTTGAACCGGAATTAGACTGTTTTTGAGAAATACACTCATTTGCAAATCAATTTGGTTTTCATGAAAGACTCGAATGAATCTCTCGTTTATGAGATTCTACAACTGAATATGCTGCACACAGGCCGCCTCATGATTCACTTGGCAGATATTCGAGATATCGCTGTATATCATAAACGAGAGATTCAGCCGAGTCTCTCGTGAAAACCAAATTGATTTGCAAATGAGTGTATGCCTACACAGTCCTGATTTTTTGGTTTATGGTTTGCTTGATGAGCGGGAATTAAGACAGACTGGTTGTCCTGCGTCTCTGCGTTGGATGAAGCTATCGTTGTACAGTTGGGTTTGTCAAAACCACCACTCATTGGGCAACGGAGAATGTGACACTTTTGAGGGATTTGTGCTTCTGAAGGCTTATTTGTTTATTAGATTAAACAGTAGACTAAAAAGTAATATGGTTCCACGTTGAAATTTAAGATGCATTGCTCTACATGAGTACTGAATTTTCGCGGTTTGTTTGTATATGGCCAGGTTCGCATTCACATGCGCAATAGTTTAGTACGCCTGATATAATCCATACTTCAAGCCAAGCATAGGAAAGGTTGGTGGAGCAGAATAGCGATTTTAATTTCACCGTTTTCAGACTATAGCTGAACCTGTGTGACAGTGTGTGAGCTTGAAAATATACGGCCTACAAGCAGATCCTATCCTTACACAGGAAGATCATTCATTCATTGAATGCCCGAAACCTCAAGACATTGAAGGAAGCATGTGATTGCGTAAGTCAGCGTGCGTAAGTGCATTTGGAACAGGTCTTGGGTGTTGAAACTGCTGAGCATCTAACGGTAGCCTTAGGGAGACCCTTCAATAAAAGCATTTGCGTATTCTAATAATTTTCACCCCACATATCCGAGAATAGTTGAAGATCAAAGTAGAGGATTTTCCTGAGCATCTCCGGGAACAAATTGTCGGGACACCAAATCCATAATGAAGGCATATGCATGAAGCGCATGATTTTTGTGGATGATGCAGGGGTCATCCAGGGCTCTAGAGCAGAAATACAACCTGTCGGATGTCAGTTAGTGCTTATAAAATTTGGTGGGATTGTCCAAGATTATGTCAGCTGGTTACCTCGGTTAGATCACCGCAAATAATCCGGAAATACCAACGTCATCGACAGTATTGAATGATTTTTTCCCACTTGGGGGAAATGAATAAGGACAGTGAATGTCATGGAACATTCCTGCGAGCACATTAGGCATGACTATATGCAAGTTTCAGGACTGTCAAGCCTATGGCCGAGTGAAAACGGAGCAAGGCGTGTAGTGTCTTGAAACTCAGGAAATTCAGGGTAACATTGAGGAAACTCCACTGGATCGCGAATTTTTTCCAAATGATTCAACTGTTTTTCAATATCTGTGACTTGTTAGGCTGCCAATAGTAGCTCATTTCAGCTACACAACCCGAAGACACAGGTCGTGGTCCTGATAGCAATGATCGTATTATTCGTAGCCAAGTCTGTTCTGACTACTATTGGGTTCACTGTCTTGAGCTTGTGCAAGTTGTGCGCCAGCGAAGAGATCATCCACTGTGTTGGCCATTGTTGAAAGGATATCTGCAACCGGACATCCGACCATCCGTCCGACACATCTACTGTTATGGGGTGTGAACAATAGGGAACTAACCAGGTAACCTCTAGTCACGATTAGACTTCAGTTGGTCACTCCAACTCTGTGAATCGCCCTGAAGTCATCAGCTGGAATCCCGGAAGAAACGTACCACCGATCTGATCAGCTCCTGCAGTCATATCAGTCCGTCGATACACTAGTGAGCACTTAACACAACCCCTGTTGAAAATGCCGACTTTTTAAGTCTCAGATTACGATCACCTCTTGGTCGCAGGCCGGGGGGCACTGGAGAGCCATCCTACAAGGGAAACGCTGGTTTCCGAATTAGAAAAAATTTGGAAGCGACAAACACGTTACCGTTTCAGAGGGTCTGATTGACAATGAATAGATTTATTGCTGGTCAACTTCTCTCGTTAGACCAACTGGCCAGATTGCGATTCTCCATAAGGAAACACAACTCTTGGGGTTGCTGGAACGTCTTCAACATCCCACAACCGGTTTCATACTTCTCGAGGATCGTCAGATGGGTAAACTTACCCGTTTTCTATCAATTTCATGTTCTTCTCGAACAACAATTGCACGTAATTCACGAAATACACTCATCTGAAGGCTAATTTGTTTGAGTTTTAAGGTTGGCCAAGAATCAACTGGCAAGATCTCTACCAACACAAACTAAATCAGTGTTAGGTGACGATAGAATTTTTAGTTCTTGAAGTAGCGTAGTCAACTAAAGGTTACAGCGATGGGAAGGGGAGTAAATTCTTGTATTTTGTGGTACTTAATTATGGACTATGATTATTTGAATTTTGAACCTGTGTAGGAAAATTAATTGTGTTCACGCTAAATTTTCCCTCACCAAAATCTTTGCCTCCAATATGAACAAAGAACAGTGGTACAAAAGCAAGATCCAGGTTGAAGAGTGCATTTTTAATTGATGCAGACTTTAAAGCAAAACAGATACATTCTGAACTGGCACCGAATATACTTCATAACTTTTTACTTCGAGTTGCGCTAGCGCTGAGCCAACGATTTTCGCCGTTTACGGACTGAAGTCTACTGCATTGGCTGTCCTGTGGATGAATAATCTACCGGATTCAGTGGTTTACCAGTTGAAGTTATTCTGGAAACTGCAATCGAATTCTCCAACTCAGCAAAAACAACAACGACCAATTGCTGAACCACAAAAAGTATCACCATTCATAAGTATAATTCTAATTGTCCAACTCAGCAAAAACAACGACCAATTGCTGAACCATAAAAAGTATCACCATTCATAAGTATAATTCGGGAAAACTGTCACCAAAATAAGATTTTTGGAAACGGACGAACGGATGCAAACAGGACTTTTGTTAAGCGCTGGAGAGTTTATTTCCCAGTTCGAAATGTTCTGCAAAAGTTTTGGTAACCCAAACAGTAGGAATTTGGATCGAAAAAGCCTCTAATGCTGATAGTACTCCAACACGGTAACGGTAGCAAATCTGTCGAGCAGCTGCAGAATGCACAAAAATAACTTGGGATCGAATATTTGAAGAAATTGTGACTTATGGAAGCAAAATCGTCTCCTGTGTGGAGACCAAAATCCCGGATGATATTTTTTGGAACGTTTTTCGCATCCTACTCTTATATTCCGGTTCAATAGAAGACTAGAAAGTATTAATACTAGGTACTTTTCACGAAATGGTGCGTTTGAAAGTGAAATTCCAAAAGAAATCTGTCTGGGTAGATCGAAACATCCAAAATCTTGCATGTTTAACAAGCTGTTTCCCTACTGAGATTTAGATGTGTTTAAATGTATATTCATGTTTACACCACATATGACATCATACTAGAATGTTATGTGAGGTTGGTGCTTCCACTTCTGGAAATCACTTTGACCTGTCAGATATGTTAACCACATGTCCCAGGCTGAATCAGCAAATTTGCAGTGATCCTCCTAACGGTCGTCAGCATAGGTTAGCGAAAACGTTCATTTGCTATTGTGCTTTTTGGAGGGAATAATTTGCTAGATCTCCTGTTAGATCTCCTGAGCAGCCAATGGGCTTCAAGACTGAAGGTCATTCTTAGCCCTGATGCTATTAGATATTAATTGTTGGTTAACAGACGTCCACCAGTTAACCACCCCTGTCTTTTTTGCTGCCTTCTTCCTCATCTTAGTGTTTTCCAGCTGCACAGAAGAAAGCTTAACCGTATGCTATGTGCCACACAACGACGATCAACAGATCAATCTTTCTAACCAGATACAGGCAAACCAGTGCTCTGTGCACCTGGTTGCTAATACAGATTTGGAGCCACAACTTCCCGACAAAACATGTCAGCTGGTTGTTAGAAACGGTGATCCGGTGCAGTTGCAACAGTGGAATCTATTAGACAGGCTAATAGCACGATACTGCATTCAGCTGAACTTTTCACGGCAAAAAAGCAATTCATGCGGTTTGGATGTGATAAGACGTGGTAAATGTTCAAACAATGTAAGTGGACTCAAACTTTTTGTCTCATTTTTATATACGAACTCGAATTTTGATTCTTCAAGAACGAAATTATCAGTCTGCCCAATGACGTCATGTCATACGTAGTGCTTGCAATGCGACTATGCGGACAGAAGAGCTTGTTATTTCTACATTCAGTGTCTTGTCTTGTCTTTCGATATCTTAGGATTCAACGCCTTAGCCGTTAGCGTAGAAGATTCTAGTAATTCGAATGAGGAGCCATTTGCTTTTTACAAAGAAAACCATACGAAACATCTAGGACCGTTTTTCCACGTTTTTATGTGAGGTCACTCATGGTCATGTGGATCATGGAAAATCCGTCATCCTTTTCACCACAGGCTGACAACCAGGTTGTAACATTCGCTGGTCAGCTTTATATTCACGCGGAACGCTCAAATTGCAGGCGACCAGTAGAACGCCACATTCCTTTCACGTGCTTTGCAGAAGTGCCATGTCAAAAACCAGAGTGAGTTATCGTTAACAGTCTGGCTGTGTTAGCTACCTACCTATTACAAATCATTCATTGAAGGTAGACTGTGAGTGTTCGAAAGACCAGCCCATTTAGAGGATGGGCGCTCTCTGTTCGGGATAAGAATGTATGAATGGTCACTTATTATTATGTAGAGGTTGTGGCACACGACATTTATTCCACAGCTACATGGAGTAAGCCTGTTTTATAAAACAGAATGTAAAATTTACGTAACTGAATGTATTACGCTGCTGTCACGCCTGCATATGTGTGTGGACATTGATTTCAAATGACTCTCAAAGGAAAAATTGCTTTGACTTTTGTCTTCCGTGAAAAACTCTACACGTCGATTTACAGGAACAACAAAAAACGGCTATAGTTGGTTTGCCATGATGGGATGTGTGTAAATTTGGAGCCGATTATCTTCACTTGGTTGCAAAGCAGTGGACAATCAGATGGTTACTAGTTTCAGGGCTAACTCTATCAAAAGCCTCGCACATCCTACAACCAATGACGATAATCGTGGTTTGAACGTTTGAAGGGGCACTGGGTTGAAGAAAGTCAGCCAGATATCTGTGAGCGTGTGATCTCGAGGGTTTGTTCTAAGCTATAGGGGAGTTTTGATGCTAGGAGGCACCACTTTTGCGTGTTACACACCAGCGTGACCGTAAGTAGCCGGATTTCCAATAGTCCCAAATGGTTGAAGTAAATGCACTTTGCCAATTTCCTATGCGTCCAGAAGCAGCTGGATGAGCATTGAATGCAATGGAAAATTTCTTGTTCTACTTCACTTTGGTAGCTCTCACGAACCCTATCTGAAATACGCCTCGATGTATAATTGACAAGGAGAAATAAATAGGCATAAATAAATATACAGGAACGATAGCGATTTGGTTTTTAGCCATATGAACACAGGACACGACAGCAAGCCAGGTAAACGGACTGGCCATGCAGAAGGACGAGAAAGTAACTCATGTTCAGACAACCGACGGTAATGTCTGCGGTAGACGTTTAAATTTGTCTACCAGGAAGACATTACCGTTTCTGCTAGCTTCATCAAATCGTTTCAAATCAAGACAAAACAATTAGTGGTTTACTCGGGATTCACTTAAATCAAAAGCACTTAATCCGTAGGCATAATCACTGCATTGTGCGTAATATTGTGTTACCGGAACGTTATTCGTTGATCCATTTCCCAAAACCTCAGTATGGTTTATTTTTCTACCTCCATCGTATCACATGTCACATAAAATGTTCGAAAGTTGAATAATTTTTCTTCCGCAAAATACCCAAAATACGCAAAAAGACTTTTGCAAAAATAAAAATTTCGGCCCAAAGAAGCATCGCGCAGTTATTTTATCCATAAATGACATTTTTTCAAAAGAATTCAAAGGAGGTTAATACTTCCAGTTACGCACAACTACGGCGGGTTCCTTCGAATATCCTCATTCACGAGCTAATGAACTCTCAAAAGCAAACATTCGATTGATCCTTAGATCCTTCCTGCTAAATGGTTAATATTTTCCAGACTCAGAGTGTTGAATGGAAGAAATCTGTACTCCCTTCCCAGCTATCAGCTTACTCTGAAGAAATGATTCTCGATTATTTTCTGAGAGTCAGTTCCAGTTCCTTTGCAATTTGCCGAATAATGTCCAATTATAATAAAATTGCTTGATGGTATTGTGACTCAAACTGGTGATTATGCCTTTATCTGATCACTGCCCATCAAATTCACCCTTTATAAGATGTAACATCAGGTTTGTTTGGTAACACGTGGAGAAAAAATCCAAGGGAACGTGAATACTTTTTGACCACCGGAATGTCTATCGGACGACAACACTCGCGGAACTTATAAGCAACAATTACTTGTTACAGCTATGAATGATAGGCTGCTGATCAGGCAACAGATCATCCTTTCGCCGAGGTTAACAGTTAGGTTACAAACCCTACGTCGCCACACAAGAGAACATCATCATTAGGCACAAACTGATGCGCTCTGGAGTAGTTCTCCAACAGTAAGGTTGGCGAGTTATGACCGAGAGTACAAATTCGCAACGCCATAATGAGTAGCAGATTCTGTGACTATTTAGTGAACAAAGCCGGAGGAAGCCGACAAAGTTTGATTCAACGGCACAATTCACTCGCATTCTTCTTCAGCGTTCTAACATTTACTAAAGAGTGGGTGGATACGTGTTAGCTTGTTTGACCTCACTTCAGAGTGCACCACGAGTTTACCCGGAAGTTGTAAAAAAACATTGTTAGTAGTGCGTCAACATATAACGCCATGTCTTGAATAGGAACCAATGTAAACATGAGACGGCTTTAGTGCAGCACATTCAGATGGGGTATATTACAAACGGGAGATTCAGCTGTGATTCACTTGAGTTTCCCATTAAAACCAATTTAGTCTTAAAGTGAACCTACCTATTTCATGAACTACGTGCAACTTGTGTTCAAGTAGAACATAAGTTTGACGAATACTTGAGGGAAGAAAGCGATCGTGGACTCTCGAAGAGGCCTCAGGAACTTTCTAGGTAGTATGTCACGTCTTGAGGTAGCGTTTTTTTCAAGAGTAATCACATGCTGTACGTACCAGTTGAACGTACACATTGTCCCTTCACATCTCCAAGCCGTTCTGTAGTAACAGATAAGCTGAGAGGTTGTCATGTAGGCAACGAGCTGTATGGCAGTGTACGAACGCAGATCGTTGAGTCTACTCGTGTTCATAGTACGCCAAACTCCCCAAACTCTGCTCGTAGTTTGACCTCCTTCCATCCACTTTTTCCGCCTAGATTCCTCAGAGCAGTGACGATGAAAAGTGATCAACCACGTTTGCAATTGCGCGTACTGAACGAACAAAACTTGATTATCGATTCACTGCTAGTGGGTGACCTCATCCGATTGGAAGTTGTTTCCGTGGATTATAAATGTGAGTGAGTGGTGAGATACATGTTTCTTTCAGTGCACTTGATGAATTCAATCCGCTATATCCTACCTCACTTCAGTCGAGAGGACTCGCAAAAAAAACAAGACCGTAACTTCTGTTGAGGATTAGGGAGATCGCGCGAGAGATGAGATTTGCGGAAATCAAGAGGCCAACTCCTTCAGAAAACAATGGATGGTGTATCAGAGCCGCTTGAATTCTCTGTCTGACTCAGTTCAGTTGAACCATTTTGCCGAAAATTTAAGCTCAGATTCATAATTATCACCAAAATGTGACCGAATCATTGGTGTCATGAGCCCTTGTGAGAAGGCACAGCTGCTTACTTCCCCATTTTTTTCATTTTTAATTACTGTTGCAGAATCCGTGGAGATAATTCTGCCGGCCAGAATAGCCTCTGTCCAGAAGCCACAGGAGAAGTTTGGTTCAACTTTTCCAGTTTAGTACCTCGTATATAGCTCCCAGTAGATTTTTCTTTAAAAAAGCCTGTACCTGTCGTTGAATTCGTACCCAGATAATTGTTCTGTCAACACGCTGTCCCCTGTCACGATTATGGTTGGTCCACACTAAAATAGAAAACACACCAGCGATAAATATAATTACGGCCACAGTGTTGCTCGAACTCCGGTCAGCGGACGTGCTTCCTACGAGTATTAACTTCATTTCACCCGAGCGTGCTGAATACCAAGTAATTGCCGTCCCTGGGCTCCGGTAGGGAAGCTCTTCACCGACAGCTATTCATACTTTGAACAGGAATAACCGGAGTAAATATTCACAACACGAGAAGCGCGGTTCATTTGCGAATCATGTGTATACAGTTTATCTGTGGAATCCCAGAGTTTCCCCAGCCTCACTGTCTAACGGGAATATCGGGTGGATCTTCATTCGATGCTATTTTGCAGTTCCGAATGTGCTGAACTCTATACAAAAATGTTTGCTCGTATGCCTTTGAACATTTTAGGAGAAAAAACTGGGAACAAGCCACAAGGAGATAAATGTGCGAGGAACGTTTGAAACTCCTAAGGATTGATTTGTGTAAACGAGTCGTTAATAAGTACTGCTAAGAGTCGAGAATAAATAGTATTCTAACTTGCCCCAACGTCAATGACGCCAGTTTGCAACCATGTGAGGTTGTAGGGCAAGTTCTGGTGGCACTAGCAGTCACTGACAACAAACAAACTCAGATATAATCAGCTCGGCCCATATGGATTTACCAAGACCAGTCACCTAACAGTATCACCGCTTGAGGTTGATCAGGGCATTTCAGACTTGGAGATCACTGTTATTTGGTACGCAAATAGCTATTTATGATTGCCGTGTTCCCTGCTCAAATTTCCTGATATGACGACATCATTTCTTGTTGAATACGTTCTGCAGTCAGGGGGTCTACTTCGCGTGACGCACAAAATTGCAAAGGGAAACTCGGCAAAAAAAAACAGGACTAATTTAACAATAGAACACTGTAGCTGTCCGTAAACTTACGCACTTTAATTTGTTTGAATTGTCCCTAAAATGAATCAGGGCTCGTCAAATAAGCTTTCAAAATCGAGGGCAATTCTCTTGATCTGCAAAAGTAAAATAGCACTACTGTGGATTTTAGAAACCATCTTTAGTTAAACGGTATAATTCACTTAAATGAACCTTCGCGTGAATCTAGCAATCAGAAGTGCTTGCTGATAGAATAGAAAAATCAACTTGAAACAGTACAACAATGAAGTGATTCTGGTCTCAACAGGTAGTGAAACAGATGAACAGAGTAAAAAATGTGCCTTAAACGATGGGCGTGAGCAAATGAACACGCTGTGAGGTTAGCACGAGCTTTCAACAACGCAGAAAGTTATGTTACTGGCTGTAAGGCTTAGGTTCTCATCACTATTTTACCGATCATAAATAGTAATGTGAATTTTGGATAAAGTCTCCCAGAAGCCTTGATGTACATTGTGATTGCCGGTAAACTAGCTGTTGACATAAGTGTTCGATTAATAGGTAGATTCGTATAGTAATATACAACACTGCGCCATGGTTACTTCCAAGTGAGATTCATGCAGTACTGCCAACTAGTTTTTCTAATCTCACCTTGGTGCTTCTGTTTTCTTGATCATGTTGTACCGAAATGAAATTGTGATTGTGAACTTTACGATATTTCTTTCCTAACTGCGTAAAGATTTTTTTGATTTTTCATAAAATTTAAAAACCAGAACAGCTGGCCTTAAAGGTTCATGTCCATCTCAGGTTACGTACATTCCGGTTTCCGATGTTCTGTAATGGGATCAGACAAGTGGTGCGTACCTTATCTTATATTTACGGTTCATTCGCAAGGTCATCTGGGAAACCCGGTAAGTCATGGCATGTGGAGTTAAAGTTGATGGTCTATCATAAGAGGAAGCAGGAAGTTGCAAGTAAACGATATCCTGAACTCTGCGTGAAGTACAGCTAGTGTAGCTTGTAAAATTGATAAAAATCAGACCCAATTCGTTCTGCTGAAATCTCCCTTCAATAATTAGGAACCTAGGTTTTTATCATGGATACGTAGTACTGTTTACCGCCGTTCTTTGCAAGTTTCATCGAACGTCCAGGTATATTTGCTTGTCGTTGGTGCATCGTCTTACTGACTGTGACGCTTGGCGTTGGTCAGTTATCGTCTGTTCTAATTCGTTGAATGTGTAACTGCCTTATGGACTAAGGCGAACAAGGATTTCTTAGTGGACAATTGAGCCACAACTTCGCTTTCAGATGAACACAGGGAAAACGTTTTGACGGTTGGCCTGAAAGATGCGTCTTGTTATCGGCTCACTTGCAATGCTGGCTTGTGAAGCGCCAATCTCATGCTTTGTTTACGTTTTCCGGCCATTTAGTGCGTTAGCCTGTGAGAAACCAATAAAATAGGGGCTGGCTGTTCTGTGAAGTATGCAACCGTTAGAGACTTTCAAGAGGCCGGCAGTGCTCCCTTCCGAAGCTTGACATCCTCGGGGAGATGAAAATTCCAACAAGTTTTGGATCATTATAACTTGATTCCACTCACTAGTCAAACTGCAAGTGGTTTACGTTTTTGTATTACTACTGGTACCGGTAAGAGTAGTTTTTTATTTCTCAAACCAATCCAAAGACTGCAACATAGAAGATAATAGAACATAGGCAAGCCAAGTCTTGTTTGCATTAAATGGATGGACTCACTTATCTAGGAAACACTGTACCTGTCACTTCTTACGAAATCCAACTGATGGACATAAGTGAGGAGATAATTGACAGACCCATCTGTATGCACTCAGGAAGCGTTTATAATAAGGGACTAACTGACACTTCTATATCCCTCCTTAGCCCAAGATATTTGCATATACTTGATAGTTCCTCGGGTTCCGTATGACTGATCGATCAAGCGCCGTACTGAACTATAACCTTCAATTCAGAATTAAGCATTCAAGTTTTTTAAATGCGCAGAGTAGCATCGGTAATGGACAGTTATGAAATGATTCACGCATATGGGTATCAGGCCAACCTAGAACGACTAGTTTGTCTGTGCATGACAGTCCCTTGAACTTGGCGGTTTCCTCGTCAACGTTTGTTTATCAAGCTAGTTGACATGCATCTTGGGTAGCGTCACAGCACTGATTCGTGACTTGAAGGCCATCAGTGACTAGCGTGTTTACTGTGATCTACCGCCTCAGAAGTCGATATTATATTCAGGTAGGTGAAGCTGTTTGGGTGCAACATGCAGGCTAACTGCACACAGACTCGGACCCAAAAGCCCAAAACAAAGTCCGACTAACGGTAATGAATTTAGATTGTGTACTGGACAGGAGACATACTACTTGGTTTACAGCCCATCATCTTATCTCTCAAGTGCCTAATAAGATGTTGGAAGATACCCATGAGCTTGGCAAGGCCACCGAGCGATCAGGTCAAAGGTTGAGCGAGTCGACATATCATACCAATCCCAAGCAACGATTGTGAACCGGGACAAATAGCCTTCAGTTGGTGACTATTATTGATTCTGTTGTTCCTGTTGATCTTATGATACCCCCGAAACCAAAATTGCGTCTTTTTCACAATAACTAGTCTCTGCTGCGAATAATATTTGAGTTATCTGGATCTCTGCACTATAATGCTTTGATAAGTTTTCAGCCCCACTGTTCCACTGAAATCGTCACCCAAAACAAAGAATTGTGTTCACCACGGCGGGTCTTCTTTTTTAAGAATTCAGTAGCCAGAATTCGTGGAATACCATAACAAAATGTAATACCCGGAGAGATTTCAACCTTACGGGTTGCCCGGTTTGCTGACGTGACTGGCTCGCTTTGTCTAATGCCCTACGTCCTTTACTTGATTGGTTCTCTGACTGAGCCTGCTATCTTATTTCAATGTCTGATGGCTGGTAGAATCATCAAATACGCTAAATGAGCAGGCAAAATCCCCAACTATCTCCGACATAGGTGTTGAGCCACTCAATTAATTAGGCTTCGAATGGTTAGTAGCGTTCCCAAAGCTGATGACCAAATGTTTCCGGTGGTACATGAAAGCTTAATGGATAAAATCACGACCGTCACTAATTTTGTCGGGTAGAGGGCAGTAAAACTCTGTTAGGTAAGGTGTCGCTGCGAATGTCAGCTTCGCTCGTGTTTTGTTTTCTGGTGCAGATGAATACAACGAAATTTTGAAGCGTCGACTGTATGGCATTAAGTAGAAGACTGAGAAACTAAGTCAGCTTATTTGATGACAACAGCTTTTACTAGGACACTGGAATGCGCGGCCCAAGAGTGCTTTTTATCAAGCGGCGCTACTATTTTGCAATCGCTGAAGTTGCGCGCAACCTGCAGCAACCGAAATTTACAGTTTCTCCTGCGGCCAACTTAGTCCTTGGACAGAAGGAAACCTTCTAATTGCTGTAAATAGATTCTGACTTGCAAAGGGTACAAGTTAATTACCTCTAGTGACTACTTGCCGAGTGTGGCATCTTCCAGGACAAGACCCCAGTCCTACGAGATTCGACTGAGCCTCACGTTGTGTAAACCTGCACAGCTGCTGGCGATGTGCACTATTTTGAGTGGCTGGTTACCGGTAGAGCAAGGGTTACATCCAACAACCAACCAGGAACATGCAGCTTCATTGAGTATCAGCGTAACACTCAACGATGGTGATTCCAAATATACACGAAGCAGCTCCACAACGGTCGAGACTCTGTCATACTTTGAAACAGTCTTTCAGGAGAAAACATTCAGTCGAATCTCAGTATTTACTCATTCCTCCCAAACATATTTGAATGGTCGCTCGTACGCTTAAGACAAACGGGTTTTGAATGGCACCGATAGGACGAGATAATCGTTAAGTGACCATGTGTTGCGCACTTCAGTGACCTGTTGATTAAATGTCTCAGGGCTTGCATAAATGTTGTCAAATATCTGTACCCAAATGTCCGTTTGCCAATAGTCTCTTCTGAATAGAAACCTGCATGTAATAATATAGTCCCAAAAATTTCAGATGCAAAAAGAATGGATTGCTCACACCGTTTCTGCCAGACGTGAAATGGGTCGAAATGGATCCAACCATATGGTCACCACAGGGACTTTCAGCAACCCCACATCGGTCTCGTCCGTTGACTGCATTCCGCGTCATTCCAGGAGAGGCTAGAGTCACAATCACTTGTGCAGTCCGGTACTGCCTGCTTCAGGATTGCATACCCATCCAAAACGTCTCGGTATGTTTTCACTGTTCTGGAAAAATGTTTGCCTAGTTTCACTTGTGATCAGTTTACGGTCTTTTTGAACTAAGACACAATGGGATACTTATGTATGAAACGCAAATGGCTATTCTACTCATCAAACTACAAAATGCATTTTAGTAGCTGGCAAATAAAACATCCCAATGATTGGATCCATATACTGGTACCTTACGATTGCGTGCTCTCTGGAGGTTTCAAACGTTTACCCGTGAAAATGTAACTTCTCAAGATAAATAGGTGTCTTAAAATTTATAACCACAGAACTCTGGGCTGCCTGTAGATGTTTTTGACAATGCTTGCCATAAAACGGTGAAATGTTTTCCCAGTTGAACCAGTGCAGATCATGAACAGAGGGCTATTAGTCAAGAAAAAATAAATGATACACCACTCCCATAAAATAATTAACCTTTTGAAATTATGTATATAGTAACAAAGAGGCTGGCGGGTGTAGTCTGAATGACTGTATCCCATGGGGATATAAATTCGGGCTGTCTCAGTCAAGTGGATGAAGGGAACTAGGCGCTTTAAATAATTTATGTGCAAAATTGTATTCCATCCTGCCCAACGTGATCCACTTAGACATTGTGTGCCTTGCTAGAAAATTTGAATTGCTAAATTGGTTTGTACATTTGCTTCTTGTTCCACATGTGATATCTGTTGTGACTGTCTGGGTACTTGAAAAGACACAGTTCACCACACGTTGTCCCCCTATTATGTCACCGTATCAAAAGTCAACCAATCGGTTATAGACAATCTGGAATTCATTGTAGTAATGGAGAAAAACACAACTCCGCGATGTCTTAAATACCCTTCCAGATATGATCCAAGAAGCACAGGCCCTGCGCCTTCTTTCGAATCAAATCATGGGTTCCTCGCTATCACCATAATAATGCCATAAAAACAATCGGATCGCAATTGAATAATGCACCTGTGTAGTTCTAGAAGGGTTATTTATCATGACATCAACGGTAAACAACCATTCATTTATCCGACAGCGTACATCGTTTTTGCTAGATGCATAATCAAATTAAGTCGGCACACAGTTCATGTGCTACAGGTGAGAGGAAGCAAGCCTTCGCTGCGGAGTTATCGGAAAACACCAACCGAACAGTTACACAAACTATCGGAGAGGGAAGCAAAACTCTCATACGCAGCTTGTTCATAAAAACTGTGTATCCGTCTTCTTCTTGAACGCGTCTTCCTGAAATTTCCTGGATATTCATTGCCTATCACTCAAACATAAACAAATGATACAAAGCGATTCCACAAATTCCGTAATGAATCTCACTTTTCAATAGAGGCGAAGCGGATTTATGAGAGATGCACGTACTACTCTCATGCTTCGTCAGTAACATCCAGCATCACACAGGTGGTTGGGGGCAACACCAGGAAAAAAAACGGGGATATGTAATCACACTTGGAATGGAGGATAATATGAAGTGCATAAAATGTTGTACGAGCGACTAAGGTGAACCAGAAGGTCTGTGAGTCCTCACCGATACTTTTAGGTAAACAACACGAATGAATTGATCCAAATGAAATGAAACTCGAGACAATAGTGATTGTTAAAACGATGGGTATAAGGTAATTAAAGACGTAAACCCTTTTACCAGCCTCATTTTGATGAGTTGGCCGCATTAAGCTGTCCAGTGTGCTTCGTTGAGAGATAATATTTTCGGGCAACTCTTGGAATGTCGTTCATTATCAACACCCATACTATACTTTTAACCAGAACTCTAACGTTCAGCCTTGCGGATATTCCCAACTATATTTTTGACGTACGTGTATTACGAATGTGGGGGATTCGGGCTAAGCAATAAGGATTGCTTTTGCTCAGGATTGTCTTCGTGTGTATGGAAACTGTTAACCATCCGAAAAATTCTGACCACGGCTTTTACCCAGCAACAAAGGCCTAGGAATGAAAAAGCTTCTTTCACTTTATTCCAAAGTAGCTGGTTGTAATATCTGCTGATTCGCCGGTCTGTGGTATCTGCTGCTGACCCGCTCCAGTGCCTAGTGTCGGAACACAATAGCTATATTCCAAAAAAGTGGTTGCGAGAGCGCGAGTGCGTGCGAGTGCAAAAGTACAACGGCCTCAAGCTTATTATTGGAAGAACACTGTCTGAACTTGGTCCAATGATGACGCACGCGGTCTGGCTTTAGTACGAGGTAGCGACGTGCTGCATATTGCGGGGGCGTTGTCTGACCTTGATCAACGCTGACTCGCGCTGTCTGGGTTTGATGCAAGGCTGTGACGCACTGCATATTGAGGGGGCTTTGTCTGTCTGGTCAACACCCAGCGGAGCTGAGAGTCTCCGTAGATTCCGGGCATTCAGTGGTTGCTTTCAGGAAGCTGACCCTACTGATACTGGTCTACCACTTGGCTTCTTCCGCCAGAATATTGCTTCAAAATCTCACATCATGTTGCGTGACCCTCTTGGGAGTTTGCGTATTTTATTAGAAGACGGTTTCGAGCGACTAATCATGTGAACATGATGCGTAAATCAATTTCAAGTTGAAATTCTTCACCAGACTTTGAGCCGTAGTTGAGTGGCCACGTGACCACTTCGAGAACCGTACAGCGACTGAAGCAGTTACAGTAGCTAAAACAACGCACAACCTGGATATAACAATGATACGGTGAAGTTCAGACGACGGGACGAAAAGCCACTTGACTCATGCTTGCAGTCACTTGCAGTGCAACCTGCCCTAAAAATAACAATACAAGGAACACCATAATGTTTTGTTTCAGTTAACCGAGTCTAAGTCACGATCTCGAACACTGCAGGTACTTACATGATGACCATAACCTTGATTGTCCGAGTGCAATGGTTGTAATTTTTCATTTTCTGAATGCATTATCTTTCAGTATTTTTCTCTGTCTATTTTATATTGTTCAGACCTTTTGTAGCCAAGCAATGTCAGAGTTCTACGATCAACAGTTTCATCTTCTGGCTACGATGCTAAGGGTGGAAAAACCCGTCCAACCCACCGGTGAGTGCTATGCTTCGCTGAATTCTTGAAAACATTATAAATGGAAAGTCTGTTTCTTTTGAACAGTAGTCGACAAAATTGCCCATTACACGTGGTTCTCAGTGGATGATGAAACTAAGACCAAAACTGGCGGGACTATCTCATTGCAGCACTCACAATTGCACTTTCTCTATGGAGCTCTCCATATGCGAAAGGTCGGTGACACCACCTGTTTGCTTAGACTAGCCTTTAGTGAATTCTAAAGTGTGTGCATTGTTTGCCCCAACTTAGTTGCAAATAAGGAACCGGCTCAATTTGTTCACACTTAGATGAATCACCGGTCTGATTCACTTCCCCTGGGAATCCTTTAAAGTTTGATCAGTCTACTCTGAAATTCTTGCGATTGCATTTCGTTAGATGCCTTTGCAAGTAGAATATTGTCCTTCCAGAACTCTACTTATTGTAACAGTGACGATAACGAGCGTTCTACAAATGACAATGTGGCTTGTGTAATTCCACAGCCTGTCAAAGTTGGGCGATCAAGCTTCCTACTGGTTTATTTGTGATCAGTCCTATTTTTCATGCTTCATGAGACTATAGGGGTTTGGGTTCAAATAGCTATCATTTGTGCAGTCTCGATATGATTGCAGGTAAAATACGAGTCAATCCAAAGGAATATTTCCCTTAAACCTGTCCTTGGTGGAAGGTTTGGCCGGAAATCATAAGCTGATATCTGGTCATCCCACATTTGTGTTAAGTTTACTGGGCAGATTTCCAGTTTGTGCAGGACCAGCCTCCGCAAACCGATCTTCATATTTTTCGGAAAAGTCTTAGACAAAATCGAATCAGTACTTCGCTTTTGAGCGACGATAACCTCTCAACAGATTCGTAGACATTTGAACTTGTTTGACAGCATATACTGTTTTTGCCACCACATAAAACCAGTTTTTTCCCTAAACTTCTAGTTTCCTGTCGCCTGATATCATGCATCACGGTGAGTCAGTTGCTCCTCGGCTGTATGGTACTGCTCTTCCTGGACCTGATCGTATTCTTCCTACTTGTCTGGTCTTATCGACATAAACTGATTTGGAGGTTGAGGCCAACTCCAAAATCGGAACTACAACCTAGTGGAGACAGCCGAATAATTCCTGAAATGTCGATGAGCAGTACACCTCAAAACGACCTCTTTGACTCTTGTCTCATTGGACAACCGTTGATTGGGGTTAGTGGCCACAGAAGTACAGAAGGTACGGACATGGAGAGTGTTCGGAGCCACTTGAATGTTTGTGAATTCTATCCAAGTGAGTTGAAGCTCTTGAGTATAAATGGTATGCTTAACACTTAGTAGAAATTTGAAGCATCGTCTCCTAAAGAATGATATCTGGTGGTGGACGTTGATACAAGAGGCATGCAGCAGTAGTGAACACGTGATAAGTCTCAAATGTTGTATTCTCTCAACACCGAACAAAATTGTGTTTGTCTACCTAGGAGCTTCATGTGATGCTCATGTGTTACCGTCTCACTCTAGCGAATGATCATCCTGGCAGTCTTTTCACAAGACCACCATTGTAAATCATCCGTGATTCACACCTAACTACAAAAGTGGGAGGTCGTGGAAACACATCCTAGCACATCCATCGTATGTCGTTAGCCTAACGGGAACACTTGCTCCCAGCCGCTAAGCAGGCTTGTTACGAGGTCACTTGAACTTACTGCCTATCTGAGTGCCGCCTGCAGAAAAATTGCCAGTGCTCCTTCAGTGTTCCTCTCAGAACAACGAAACAAACACATTTATCAAGGAAACAGTGTATGGCGCGCTGCAGAAATTCACCAAAACTGCGAGTACTTATGAGTAGTACTGAAGCACCATAACATTTTGAGTAATGAAACATGAGACCACCTTTGTGCAGCACATTAGGTCGGAGCATGTGACTGATGAGGAATGTGTGTGACTTTCATCTGTCCCCCATTCACACCAACTTAATCAGCAAATGAGTGGCCATCGCAACAAACTTGCACCTGATTTACAGTTTATACCTTATTTGCAAGGGACAAGAGGCTGGCAACTTTGATTCAGTCACATATTTAGAGGTTCGCAATGTTTCTAGTCGGATGTACTAAGGTACGCAAATCAGTAACTCTCAAAGCGTTTGAGCTGAACGATCAGAAACCAGCAATACATTTCAGTTATGAGTTATCCACGTGTATGAATACCATCATTTCAATAATGTTCTTGGTATCTCAAACACAATGACATGCACGGAAGATCGATAGAGCCTCTGCTTTAAACATTTGCGCCACCTTTGTCGAAGTACGAATATTTCTGGATCTCATAACCTCACTCTTGATAAATGCGTTTACACTAGTACCCGCCTGTTTGTTTAAAGTTTTAATGTGGTGCTTAGGCCCCAAAAGAGCTGCACAGATTGATATATGAACTGAGGAACGCCCGACGCCAACTATCACTTAATACTGCAAATATGGCGGTGGAAGAAAAAGTGCCAAAAGTACATCTTGTCACTCAAGCCAAAATTCAAACGCACCCGAATTATACCCCATGTTACAGTGCTTTCGGTGCTAACATCATGTCCAAGAATTGCAACATCCACCACTATTCAAGGGCACTTATAAGACGTTTGTGTGAATCAGTATGACAACCCAACAGTTCGCGCTATCCCAGTGCCTTGGACTGAAAGTTGTTTGCAAATGTCAGCCTGTCTAGCATAGAAATATTGAGAAAACCGGCCCACAACCATCTTACCACATCACAGCACAAGAGAATAAAGTAAACATCTTGTTTTTCCCAAGTCCTATTTTAAAGGTAGGTCATAGACTCGGGTGTGCGATTCGCAGCATAACCGAGAAGCAGTATGTAACACAGAGAGATTGAAATTCCGACTGAGGGCTGCTTATATCGGTCCAGTAGTATCTCAGACACACCGGGCTGAACTGTATATCTGGCCTATGCGCTTTCCCACAAGATCATCGCAACGAAAACATAGCACAAACATGTGCGTACTTTTACGGTCTGACAAGAAGTAAGGGAAGACGGAGAAAAACTTACAAGTTATACCTGCCCGAAAGTTTCAAAAGCTTCAATTTAGGTATGAGCATGGGATAGGCGCAGAGTCTCATGAAAAATGTATACAGGGTCAATTTCAATATATAACTGGAACTCTGGTGCGCTATCAGGATGCCTAATTTTGGACACAGTCCGAAAGTAACAGTCATAGGTCACTGTCTTGATACGTCAAGCTGTTGACTTGTTCACAAACCACTGGGTTACATTGTTTGCCACTGATATTGAAAAATATCCACATTTTCTCCAGCCAATGAGCTATAGAGGAATGTTTTGCCCCTCAAGTTAAGTAACCGTAGATCTTCAGATGAAAAAGATCCTCGAACGGGAAATGAAAGTAACTTAGTGAAGAGCAATATCCTGTGTACAGCAATCCACCTAAAGAGATTAATACACAGGGAAAAGCTGGTTAATTTTTGAGGATTAAATAAAGCTTTTTACTAAGACCATCGAAAAATTTCATACAAATAAAACAACCGGTGGTCATACAGGCTCACACAACATATATTTAGTATCCGTTTTATGGCATTCTGCCAACAGTATATCGTGGGCTAGTTTTGGAACCGGTGCAGACCCTCTTCAGAAAGCAACAGACCACGCCGGAGTCAAACTGCTAATCAAGCGGAACCTAAGTCACATGATTGAAGGGATACGATCGAACATGGGCAGGTGTTATTGGCAGATTTAACTCAGCACCACAATCAACAAAGAGGGCGTCGATGAATTAGGTCACCTTTATCGGTATGATAAGGTACACTGAAAAATTTAGCCTAAGGGACCAAATAAACTCTGCTTAAATGAGGGACAGGCGTCGGGAAGGTGGTGGTGGAGAATGGTACAATGGACCGATCGTCTACAGAAATTCATAAGTCACGAAAGCCGCCCTGATGATAAAGTGATAGTGACTGAGCTTATTCACAGTCGACTCACAGATGACCATGCTGCTTAATTCTTCTGTCGTTGTAGATTCTCCTGCTCTCACCCCCCAGTCACTGGTTGTGGGACGTGCAGTCATAAGCCTATGAGACATCATTTTTCTTTCAAGGAAGAAAACGGTAGATTCCTTCAACTTCCACTAGACTGAACGTTATCTGAATGAATATCCCCTTGTCCACAGTGTAAAATGACGTCTGAAATTATCACGATACTGAATTATACATGAAAATTTGAGGGATTCCATCTTCTTTATTGACTGTTGGTTATTTTTTCTAACTTCTAAAAAGGGATGCAATCCGTATTGAAAGCATTAGTTGGGACAATAGTGAGGCATTCTACCGGGGCATAGGAAATAGGCATTCGACGAAACGTAACCCTTTTAAGCCAGACCCCATTTCTGATCTAAATTTACTGTTACGGACTCCAGGTTTGTTCCCGAAGACGTTGGACTGGTGACAATATTCACCCCACTTCGGTCTCATCTCCAGGTCTTGGCGTTGAGACTATGCACTTACCGCCCACAAATGTGGGGCTGATCAATACGTTTGAAAGGCTCGGTGTGTTCTAACCAGCTGTTGCATTGCAAACACTCCGGAACCACCTTGGTCTAACTTTTTTTATAAATAAAACTGCGAATCTTTGTCCGGGCGCTCCGACCTTATCAACAAAGCCAAATCACTCACTTGTGATAGCTCCTAAAACACAGCTGCCAAGAAAGCCGAAGATAAGGTTTGAAATGTCTTCAAGATGCCCAGGTTTAGATAGAGGACAATAGGGGAAACAAAGAACTGGTGCGAAGTATAGTTACCTACGGGTTCTTCCATGGCGATCGTGAAAACCTGGGGGAAAACACTTCGTTACCTTTAAGTAGTTGAGCCGGTCCAAGAAATCAGTTGCGCAACGAAGGCTGTTTTTCTCCTAGACACTGCGGGATCGGCCAAGCTAATTCGGCCTGCAGTGTCCAATGGACATAACCCCAGGTGGAGCGACCAGAACGCCCATGCAACCACTTACGGTCAGGCTCTTGGGACTCCTATTGAGTATTAGGATTCCAAAAGGCTAAGACTCAGCGAAAACCGGCTTATGAATCAGTGTTCCTCGAAAATAGATCAACGGTTTTTCTCTGACACGCAAACATTCTTGGATTTACCAGTCGGTTGCTTCTGCCGGCTTGTCCGTTGAGCTATCGCATGTGCCATAGTGACGATATATATATATA